AGAGGGGAACTAGCAAATGCCGAAACTTGGAAGTGGGGCAGGTCTGGGCAAAGCCTTGCGATTTTTGGGTGGGTGGATGGTCGCTGCTGAACAGGCAGAGTCAAGATCCAGGCAAGCCATCAAGGCAGCGACCACGCAGAACTCTGCCCAGGTCCTGTGGGCACCAGAGGGATGGGACGGCACAGCACACGGCCTCACCTAACCCTCGCCTTCGGTCCCACAGGTGAGAGCCTGGCCCGCCCCAAACACGTGCGCTTTGCTGCGGAGATGGCCCATCACCTGCTGCGGTGGGAGCCGGGACACCACTCCCCCCGCGATGTCCGCTACGAAGTGGAGCACAGAGCGTGAGTACAGCGGTGGGGGCACAAGGGCCTTTGGTCCCTGCCCAGGATCACTGATGGCGGCGACAAGAGAGTCCCTGGCCCGTCAGCACCGCTCTCACCCCAGGCGCTTCTCCCCGCAGCTACGGCAGGAATTTCTCCTGGATGGCCATCCCAAACTGCGTGAACATCTCGGGGCACTCCTGCGACCTCACGTACTACACCCTGGATCCTGCCCTGCGCTACTACGCACGGGTCAGGGCCGTGTCCGGAAACCACAAGTCCCCGTGGGAAAGGACCAACTCTTTCTCCCCACAAGAAGGTAGGTCGAGTGTCCGCCTCCACCCCGCGGCCGGGGGCAGAGGGCTTGCAGGACAGCAGAGGTCAGGGTGCCAAGCTGCTGGGGAAGAACTTTGGGACAGAGGAGAGCGGGGATGGCTCTCTGCATACCCTCCTCGAGGGCAGCCGGGCTGCAGGATGGGACAAGCCTAGGATGGGCAGCACGGGCTGTGAGGGACAGGCACAGCTCAGTCCACTGCTGCACAGGCTCCTCTTGCGGCAAACAGGAGAAAACCCTAACGCGCTCTTCCAACGGCCTTGTTTCCAGCCAGCCTGCGCCTGTCGGGCCAGAGCCTCTTGGTGATGGGCAACACCATCCACGTGCAGCTGCAGCTGCTCCTCAGGGCGGGGAACCTCACCGTGAAATACGACGACATACAGAAGTACGCAAGGCGATACCGTGTCTACGTCAGGAGGGTGCAGGACAATCGGACGGTGAGATGAGTTGCTGGTCCCATGCTGTTCCCATCTGTCACACACAGCGCTGCTGAAGTTGCAAAATACGTCTTTAAAGTACAGTCTTCTCTGAAATTTCATATTGAGCTTTCTCACAGCCACAGCATTGCAGAGAGATGTCTCTGCATATTTTATGGCAGTAGGTCCCCCAACTCTTGTTGGGATATTGGGTCTAGCTGCTGTCAGCTGTACTGCTAAGCACCCTGGGGACTTTCCCAAGGGGACAGAAGAGGAGGAGGGAGGAAAGCACGGGGCTAGGGGCTGCCAGGTACCAGCCTGTGCTCTGGTCGTTTCAGTATGAAGTGGTGGAGACCACCCCAGCGTTCAACATCAGCAGTCTCTTCTGGGACACAGAATACTGCGTCAGCGTGGAGCCCAACGTGGCCAGCCGGCAGATCCGTGCCTTGCGCACTGCCGAGGAGTGCGTCACCATCGGCGGGAGAGACAGTGAGTGGCGGGGAGCCAGGGAAGGGGGGGCCTTGTGGGGTGCAGCTCCTCCTCAGCCTCCTGGCTCTGGAGGTGCAGGGGTCCACAGCAGGGAGGTTGCTCCGTGCCCCCGCCGCATGGCCTTCGTTCTACGCACGTCCAGGACTCTGCCTTTCCCCCTCACCCAGACGCGTCCTCTCTTGCAGGGAGTACAGAGCTCGTCCCGAGCATTGTCAGCTCCTCCTTCACCTCTGTGTTGCTCTTGGGCCTCCTGGGAGCTCTGATGGTGTGCGTCTACATAAAGAAACCCGTGAGGCCGCCATCTGTCCTGGTAAGGCAGCCAGGCACACGGCACCCTTTGCCGCCGGCACGGGGGTGCAGGCCTGCATGCCGTTGTGGGAGGCAGGTGACGAGCAGGGATGAAGCACAGCTCACTCCCCTCTTTTCTCTCCTTCCCAGAAGTCGTTCATCAAGCAGAGCTCGCTGTGGGTGGAGCAGGAGTCCTGGTCTTCGGGCAGCCCCGACGCAGACCCTGTGCAGCAGCTGTTCCTGTGCAGGAAGGAGCCCCAGCAGGACAGTGGCCTTGACAGCAGCACCAGCGCAGCCCAGCTGCCCCCAGAGAAGGGCTGTAGGCTCCCAGCACAGCCTGAGGACCGAGTATGCCTGCTGGGGCCAGGGGCCAGGAGCAGCAGAGACAGCAGCGGCACCAGCACCGACAGTGGCATTTGCCTACACACCCCCTCCTCCTCCTCCTCTGCACTGAGCTGCTCCTCAGGCCCCGAGCCCCAGGGCTACAAGAGGCAGGAGCCCACTGGCGACGACAGTGGCGTGGGCTTGGGGAGCACCTGCCCCCGCTCGCCGTGCTCCTCCGGCAGCGGGAACGCCAGCCCCGCAGAGGCCAGGCAGCCCTGCGGAGGGGAGCTCAGCCTCTGCCCCGCCGCCAGCCAGGACCACCAGCGAGACGGGCTTGGGGAGCACCTGCCCCCGCTCGCCGTGCTCCTCCGGCAGCGGGAACGCCAGCCCCGCAGAGGCCAGGCAGCCCTGCGGAGGGGAGCTCAGCCTCTGCCCCGCCGCCAGCCAGGACAACCAGCGAGACGTGGAGTTCCGCGGGTACCTGCAGCAGTCCAAGGGCACAGTGGACCCGCGGCAGGACCCAGCCAAGGGGGTGGCCTTCTCGGGCTGTGACGGATCCCTGCAGGGCCCAGGCAGCTCTGACATTGTGCTGGATGTAGAGTGCTCCGAGCTGACTGTGGCCAAAGGGTATTTGAAGCAGTCCTCTCCCAAGCATCCCCACAGCCAAGCACAGGACCTTGCTCCATGGGGGGCCCTTCGGGAGCCCGCTGTCTGGGGCTTTTCCAGCCATCTGGAGCCCCGAGCCCCCACGATGCAGAGCTACAGGGTGCCGGGTGCTCCCTTGGTCTCCAAATGCAGCCCTGATCTCCTGCACGCTCCCTTCATCTTCAACACTGACCTCCCGGGGACGCTGCCCCTCACCTGCAGCCTCAGCAACAACGAATGGCTCCCGCTGCAAATCAACCCACTGAGCCTGCTCAGCGGGGACAGCAAGGACAGCCGCATGTCAGCCGTCCCGGTGCCGC